GTGGATTTTTTAAAGTTTTCGACCTTTGTCTTACACACAGGCATATTATTTTATCAGTGATATACTCCATTCTTGATTTTATTATAGTCGCCATGGTAGCTTTTGGAGCCAAATGACCAGGTATGTTAGTGTGTATTGTGTGAGGTATATATCCCAAGATAAACAATAAGAGGAGCCTAATGGTACAGTTGCAAAAATCATTGCTGAGATCCAAGAAATCTTTATTTTGGGTCTTCCCTTCCCCTCATTTACCACAGATATTGATAGCCAGTTGTGTATCATCATGGTCTTTGGGAAATGATACCAAGAGCAATCTCTGTATCTGGTTTATCAGTATGTTTAATTTTTAATCTCTTTGGCCAAAGTTCTACATGATTCTTTAATATGGAGCTCCAGATAGCTCACCCCATTTATCTATTTGTGGGAACTCACCCCATTTACCTATTTGTGGGTATGTGTAATGGTAATTTCCCCCCAAATGTGCATAAAATGAGAAAGTCTTACTGAACTCTCAGTTCCTAGATGATTCTGAACCTGGTCAATAGCAACAATATACTGTATATATTTAAAAGAAACTGGAATTTGACCTGTTTATTCCTGTTTTCTACATATTTATAGAGGAAATCAAGTAACTGGTTTCTTATATAAGGCTCTGAGAATTCAAAATAGTCATTGTTTGCTGCAGGGAATCTTAAATAGGTCAACTAAAAATACAGAATAGAATCAATTCATTAGAGTGGGTGAGTTTAAAATTGCCTTTTCTATGCACTACAATCAGGGTTCTACAAAAGGAAGTCAAGGCTGGTCATGAAGGCTTCTAATGTTAGTATGAATTCTTAACTTCCTAAAACATTTATATTCACACAATGGGGCAGCTCCCTGTGCCTCTCCAAAATCAGCCTAAAAGAACTGGATTTAACTTTCATTAAACACATAATTTAGCATTGTAACAACACTGCCATTTTTTCATATAAATAAAAGAAAGGCTTTAGAGGTGCTTACTATATTTTTTCTTTATATAAAACTCCTAAGATTCATATAAAAATATCATGGTTTTAACTATACTTTTCTTTTTTAGTATATTTTTATTGTAATTGCAACCAAACCCTTTACCGTTTGTGTGTGTGTTAAATGGCCTTGTGAAGGGCCAGGGCAGGCATGCCTTGCCAGCAGCAGGAGCAAGATCAGCTGGGGTGGCAGAGCACAGGGTGGCAGGAGTCTCGGAGTGCAGGGTGGTGAGGGCAACTGGGGCTTCCCAGGGAGTGGCAGCTTTGCACCATGCTGCCAGGCCAGGGTAGGACTGGGCTTCGGACTGCTGCGCTGCACCGCCATGCTGCTGGGCTGGGGCTGGGCTTTGCGGAGCACAAAACTTGCAGCCTCAGAGCTGCAGCATGCCAAGAAGCCTCTGAGCTGCAGCAATATTCAACAGTTACTCTCTGGGAGAGATGGGCGGCGTATAAATTTAATAAATAATATTCTTTCCCTGGCCTTCCTGAGCTCACACCGCACCCCGCCAATTCATGGGTGGCCTGCACCGGCCCTCCCACGCCTCCCCCACCTTCCCACAGTACCTCTGCGCTCCTTACCTGGGACTCCTGCCTCTTCCCGCTTAACAACCCACACGTCTTGGGGTTACAACGGCAACTGGGACTGCCCAGGATTGCCATCGCTAAGCAATGCAGTCACATGACATTGTGCTTTATGACTGCATCACTTAGCGATGGAAATTCCGGTTCCAACTGTGGTTGTAAGTCAAGGCCTACCTGTATTCCAAAGCTGGTCAAACAAATGCATTTGGGAAGCCCATGAATGCAGAGGAGAGCTATGAAGACAAGTAGTTTCTGATAGCGGCAACTTAGGAAGTTTAAATTATCCCAGGAGTTCTTGGTACAGTTTTACAGGGGAATCATTGAGTTCCTCTATAACTGTCTGGTTTGATTCTGCAACCAAACAGGACAGACTCAGACTCCAACGGATAGTTAAGTCTGCAGAAAGGATAATTGCAACCCACCTGCCTTCTATAGAAGAACTGCATACTGTGAGGGTCAAAAGGAGGGCAGGGAGGATATCTGCAGACTCTTCCCGTCCTGGATATAAACTGTTCCAAGTTCTTC